TCGAGCGCAACTTTCTTCGCTCGAGTGGTTTGCAAACTTTTGACAAAAGTACTGGTTGCTTGATTTTCACGCTTGACAGACGCTCGATCCCCGCTCGAGCGTGAGACTCAGACCTTCGTTCGAGCATGACTTTTGTCGCTTGAGCAATCTGCGAAAAATATGAACTTCTGGGAACATGCATTTTATGCTCGAGCGGGATTCAAGTCGCTCGAGCATGAGTGCACGCACTCAGAGTGGTCGCTCGAGTGTGAACTCCTACGCTCAAGCGTAGGTGCAAATTCTGGAATTTCCAGATTTGATCTTCAAGTTCAAAACTCAATCTTTAAGCATTAAAACTTGATTTTTCGGGGCCAAAACTTGAGGAACACTTAGAAACTCATAATACATCATGAATTAAGGATCTTTTCAAGAAATCATGGCCAAATAGCTTGCCAACTGTGCAAAAATTCAACTTCAAATTTATATATGATCCATGACCACGACATACATGAATTTCTTTGAACTTAAGCTTCTCAAAACATGATCAAATGCTACAAACCAACATGAAACTTGATCATATCCAAAAAAAAAGGTGAATGCAAGACATGCATAAGCAAATTCTTGGGAATTAAACTCAAGATGTTAGAAAATATGCATGCATGCATGGTATGGCTCAATACCCTTCATTTCTAACTCAATTCTTGCATCAATCAACATAATTCTCTTGTGTTCATGCGTTATAGTCTAGATTTCAAGGCTTAAGGATGAAATTCTTACCTAGGGACTTGAGTTCACAAGGAATGAAGATGAAACTCTCAAATCCTCTTCACTCTCAACAATTTTTTCTTAATTCTCTTCCTCCTTTAATGTTGGCTTCAAACTCCCTCACTCTCTCTCTCTCTTTTCACACGTTGAGCTCAAAAATGAAAGGGTAAAAAGGAGTCTTGGCTTGGTAGTGGCCTTATATAGGCTAATTAGTGATGGTTCAATAAAGCTAACCAAATGGGCATTAAACTAATCCAATTTAATTGTTCCGAATCGGATTTCAATTGAACCTACAATAAAATTCTAAAAGTTCCAATTAACACATAAATCAAGTTAATTTCTGAATCGGATCCTGGTACAGCCTTTAATTCGTAAACCGAAATGAAAACATGAACAGATCTTTCTATGTTAAACAGATATATACACTCACAAGGCAACATATGATGCAACATTTCACTTCGATTATTTATTAGTCGTAATTAAGCATGAATTAATGTTAATCATGGGTCAGGGTTGTTACAGTCTTCCCCCTTTAAAGAGTTTGGTCCTCCAAACTCGAATTACCTTCATTTTGGAAGAATACCAGGTCCAAAGGAAAAAGTTCAAGATATCTTTTCATTATGACTTCTTCTGTTTCCCAAGTTGCATAGGTTCCCCCATGATTCTACCAATCGACCTTTACTAACGAAATTTCCTTGCTTCTTAATCTTTTGATTCGGCGATTCAAAATTTGCATTGGCCTCTCGTCGTATGTATAATCATCTTTTAGAAGTACACAAGTCGGCTCAATCACATGTAGTGGATCTCTCAAATACTCTCGAAGCATAGATATGTGAAAAACATTATGTATATGCTGCATGACCGGAGGCAAGGCTATTCAGTATGTTATTGAATTGATCTTTTCAAGAACTTCATACGGTCCGATGTACCTCTATGCCAACTTATCTTTCACTCCAAACCGCGTTTGCCCTTTCATTGGAGTCATTTTGATGAATACATGATCACCGACTTTGTATTCTCTATCTCGCCTTCGGACATTTGCATAGCTTTTTTGGCAGCTTTGTGCAGTTTTCAACCTCTGTCGAATCAATTTCACATTTTCAGTTATTTCTTGCACAAGTTCTGGTCCCAACAATGGTCTGTCACCTACTTCAGCCCAACAGATGGGAGAACAACATTTCCTTCCATACAAAGCCTCATAAAGATCCATCCCAATACTTGAATGATAGCCACTGTTATACACAAATTCGGCCAATGGTAAATAGGTCTCTCAATTTCCTTGAAAGTGTAAGACACACATCCTTAACATGTCTTCCAAAGTTTGATTTGTTAGTTAAGTTTGGCCATTTGTCTGTGGGTGGTAGGCTCTACTCAATTGCAATTCAGTCTCTAAAGCTTGTTGTAAACTCTACCAAAATCTTAATGTAAACTTAGAATCTCTGTCAGACACTATAGATACTGGTACACCCTGTAATCTCACAATTTCATTTATATATATGTTAGCTAACTTGTCCGCATTATAAATAGATTTGACATGTTGAAAATAAGTAGACTTAGTTAAACAGTCAACAATGACCCAGATAGAACCCATACCTCGGGAGGAACGAGGTAACCCCACAATGAAACCCATGGTAATGTGCTCCCATTTCCATTCCGGTATTGGAAGCGGTTGTAACAAGCAAGCGGGTCGTTGATGTTCAGCTTTAACTTGTTGGTAGTGTAAGCATCTAGCCGCAAAATCTGCAATACCCTTTTTCATTCCCGGCCACTAGAAATTCTGCTTCAAATCATGATACATTTTCGTATTTTCTAGGTGCATAGCAAATTTAGAATTGTGGGCCTCAGTCAGAATGCATTTCCTCAAATCATCATAGTCTGGCACACAAAGGCAACCCTACCATTTCAACACATTGCTCTCAAGTACAAACTCGGGCCTTGGTCTTGAGTTAATTTCATCCATGATCTTTTTCAGGAATTCATATTGCGGTTGTTTCTCTTTAATTTCTTCAATAATTGTAGGCTGAGCGGAAATAGCAGCTAAGATTCCACCCTGTTCACGCATCACAATCTCAATTTCATTATTTTCTAGGTCATATAACAATTCCTTCTGACCAGTGAGCAAACACGACAAATTCCTTCTGGCCAGTGAGCAAATGCGAAAAATTCCCACTAGATTTTCAGCTCAATGCATCTGCAATGGTATTCACCCTCCTCGGATGATACAATATTTGTAGGTCATAATCTTTAATCAATTCTAGCCACCTTCTTTGTCTCATGTTTAGTTCCTTTTGGGTAAAGAAGTATTTTAAGCTTTTATGATCTGTGTATACTTCACAAGTCACTCCATACAAATAATGGCGCCAAATTTTTAAAGCAAAAACTATGGCGGCTAATTCAAGGTCATAGGTCAGATAGTTTTTTTCATGACGGCATAGTTGCCAAGAAGCATAAGCAATCACTTTTTCATTTTGCATTAACACACACCCCAAACCTTTGTAGGAAGCATCACTATAAATTTGAAACCCATCAGTACCATTAGGCAGAGTCAAAATTGGTGCAGTTACTAACCTGGTTTTCAACTCTTGAAAGGCAGACTCACTTTGATCATTCCAGTTAAATGAGACATTTTTCTGAGTTCATTGGGTCAATGGCATAGCAAGTTTTGAAAAGTCTTTCACAAATCTTCTGTAATAACTAGCAAGTCCTAGAAAACTTCTAACTTCTGATACATTGGTTGGTCTTGGCTAGTTGACAATAGCTTCGATTTTTTGTGGGTCTTCTGATACACCATTCTTGTTAATCACATGTCCCAGAAATGCTACACTGTCGAGCTAGAATTCACATTTGGACAATTTTTCATATAGTTTCTTTTCTTTCAGAGTTCGTAACATGGTTCTCAAGTTCATCCAGACATGATTTAAACACCCCATTCATAAGATCCATGAAGGCAGTAGGTGCATTAGTCACCCCAAACGGCGTTACCAAAAATTCATAGTGACTGTATCTAGTTCTGAATGCAGTTTTCTCTATATCTTCTGCCTTAACCTTTACTGGTGATACCCGGATCTAAGATCAATTTTAGAAAACAATTGGGCTCCCTGAAGTTGATCAAACAGGTCGTCTATTCGGGGTAGTAGGTACTTGTTTTTGACAGTTACTTTGTTCAACTCACGGTAATCAATACATAGCCTCAAAGACCTGTCTTTCTTTTTGACAAATAACACTGGAGCACCCCATGGTGAAGTGCTCGGGTGAATAAACTTCTTGTCTAACAGTTCTTGAAGTTGGACTTTTAACTCTTTCAGTTCAGATGTTGACATTCTCTATGGGGTTTTAGAAATCGGTTGTGTTCTAGGTACTATATCAATTGTAAACTCAATTTCTCTGTCAATTAAATCCCCAGGCAAGTCATTAGGAAACATATCAGGAAAGTCACAAACTATCGGAATAGTTTCCACACTGGTACTATTCGAAGACACAGTCAACACATTACACAGATAGCCTCGACACCCTTTTCTCAACAACGTCTTGGCTTTCATAAATGAAATCAAGTATGGTGGAGAAACTACCCCATTTCCAATAAAAGTAAAGTTAGGTATACCAGGTAGTCTAAACATAACGGATTTACTTGCACAATCAATGGTGACCCAATATTTAGTTAACCAACCCATACCCAGAATACAATCAAAATGATCAATGCTTAAGGGTAACAAACCAATATACAATGTCATATCACCAATCACAATATCACACGCCGGATAAACATAAGCACATATCATAGAATTCCTCGACGGTGTAGATACAAATAACACATATGGCACAGGTTCTAATGGTCTAGTTAATTTTCGAGAAAAAGAATGCGATACAAAAGAATGCGTAGAACCAGAATTTACCAGTACACATGCATTTTGAGAACATATAGGGAGTGTACCTGACACCATAGCTTCGATGTTCTGTACGTCACCAGGAATTAAGGCAAACACTTGACCTTGTCTCAGAGGTTCTTTCCCAATATTTAGTTCTAGCATTTGTTTTTGACCCAGAAACAGATCTTGCCGAACTTGCCATAGGACGATTGGCATTTTCTGACCCGATTGGACAATTCCTTATCATGTGGCCTATCTTGCCACACCGGAAACAAGCACCCGATACCCAATGACAAACTCCTCTATGTCTCCTCCTACATTGAGTACAAACAGGCGTAGGCCAACTGCTTTGACTTGAGCTGCTAGAAGATCCCGTATTTTGTTTCTTACTTATGGCAATTGAACGGTTCTTCTTAAACTGAATCCAGATCTTTTTCCTTTCCATTCAGTTGTTGGGGCTGGAGCTTGCCTTTTTGCTGCCAAAATGGCTTCTGCTATGAATGCTCTATCCAATACATTCACATACGTAGGTAGGTTGAGGACTCCCACCCGATCTAGTATATCTAAATCCAATCCACTCTCAAATTTGTGGGCTTTCTTATAGTCTGTGTCCACCATGTGAGGAGCAAATATAGCTAACTCAGTAAACTTTGCCTCATATTCAGCTACAGACATTCTGCCCTGTTTGAGTTCCTGAAATTCTGAAACCTTTCAATCCCAGAAGCACTATGGAAAATACTTGTCATAAAAGATTTTATTAAATTGAGCCCATGACATATTTCCATTACCGTTTCAAACCAATAACCACCATCTCCAAGCTTCGTCTTTCAGAGTGTAGGTGGCCAAAAGAACTTTCTGAACCTCGGAACACGGAAATACTTCAAACAATTTTTCCATTTTCAACAACCATGTTTCAGCCTTTATTGGTTTAATACCACCAAGAAAGGTTGGCGGTTTCATTTTCATGAACTTCTGAGTCATATTGATAATATCATTGTTGTCCGGTTCAACTTGTATCCATGGAGGCGGAGGAGGTAAAGGTTGTTGCCTCTGTTGTTGAGTTATTACCTCAGTCAGAGCTGCAAACATCTGTTCCATTCTATTCATTCGGGCCTCTAAAGACCTTACTGTATCATCACTTCTTGCATTTTCCATTGCTATAGGGAAATAGAAGGCCAATAAACATAGGTAAATAGTCCTTTTCATAATATTTAGAGCATTCATTCTCAGTTTAGTCAATTCAATTTCATGTGTTTATGTTCGGATGAAATTTTCCCATGTACAAACATTATTATGTACTCACACATGCAGATGGGATGTCCCTAATTCTTTCCTAGGACATCCTATAGCTCATATGGACTCGTGCGTGTGGTATAACACGTGCTCTGATACCACTCTGTCATGACCCAAACCCACCCCTATGGGTTTAGCGTCATAACCAGCCAGTAATCCTAGAATTACCAAAGGCCTCTGAATAGGATAACATAAGATAGGGGCTGCAAAAGAAAATATACAAAATTATCATAGTCCATAGAGTTGTGCAGACATACATGGGACATAAATTTTCAATACAAACTTATATATATATACAGCTATGACGTCAAAAATACATTAGTCTTACGCCACTCAATTACGAAGATAGGGTCAAACAGTACTTAGCCTAAGTATAGATATACAAAACAAGCTCAACTAAACCCTTGACATAACCCTCTCAAAAGGAACCTCCTCAGAAGGCACGACAGTTAGCTGACAAAACAGAAACATTGGCCGTCAACTCCGGGACTGGTCACTTGCCTGCTCACCTACATACATAATATAAATAGTGAGCTGGAGCCCAGTGAATAATAATAGAGCAAAGAGGTTTAATGAATGCTGTCCATAACAGTTACAAAAAACAGAATTCAATAGTTGTCAGAAATGAATTCGTAATTATGTTCAGAAAAAAAGTACATAGCAGATACAGTTTCAGAGTTGTAATCATAATTAGAACTTGCTGTTAATCATACGTGGCACATTCATTAGCACTAGCAGAAACAATTGACCCATAAAGGGACGGCCATAAAAGGCATACAGTTGACTCACGTGCACGGAGATGGTAGAGTTGGCTCATGAGACGTACAGTTCGCCCATAAATGGGACGTATACATAAGGATCCATAACAGATGGCTCATGAGACGTACAGTTGACCCATAATTGGGACGTAACAAAACAGATAACAGATGTCATCTGAAGCTGATAATGCCACGAATACATTTCAGAAACATTGGACAACCATTCATTCATGCATAAAATAATATTTCAGAAAACAGATTATCTAATATCATTTAGAAAATATTTATAATTGAATGTAAGAGCCGGATAGTTGGAATAATCATAAGCGCAATCTGGAAGGAAGATATTACACGGCTCTACTCAGCACGATGAGAGTATCGAATATTATGAATAGGCCGAGTAGATACTGAACTGTGGAGTCAGATAAATAGGAGAATAACGAGTGACAAATGGGCCTAGTCACGAAGCCCAGGGAACAAGTATAAATAAAGGAATAATCGATTGAGAAAGGTATGTGAGAATTACTATGCTTAACTTAGAATACAAGCTTCCTCGAGTGTAAATACTAACTTGCCCGTCGGAGTGCTAATTCCGGCACCCCCGACCAGAGTGTTTATTCTTTTTCAGGTGACCAGAAGAGGATCACGAGCGTTCCCCAGGATCAGAAGAGTATTTCTAAACCAATTCCCACAATTGGCACCATTTGTGGGAATACTCAAGCACATCCATGACGAGCGTGACGGAAGATCCTCCGACAGTCACTATCGACCCTATACCTCACAGTGAAACCACTCCAACAAACTTGCTTGGACTAGAGACTATCGCCACACGACGTGCCTTGAATTTCACCTCACCCTCGACTTCGGAGCACGAGACAATGCAGGCGATCATAGAACAAGCAAAGCAAAATGAACAGAGGCTGGAGAACATGATCGCTGAGAACGCATGTCTTCATGAAGATTTGGCCTTGGAAATGGCGAAGTCCAAACAAGCTGAGCGACTAAATTCGGAACGATCTCCGAAGGCAAGCGGTTGACAACCTCAAGCACGACAAGACACTGATAGCGACTCCGACTCATTATCCCTAGAGCCCAGGAAGAAGGGACGACTTGAAACCACCAGTTCTTCCAAAGAAAGTCCCCGTACAATGCAGAAGCGAAGAAGGAAAAGTTCGGATGAAGACCAACACGATCCCTTCGTACGACGGATTGCGAAGGCTGTGCTACCAAAGAAATTTAAAGCACCGTCGTTCACCCTGTACGATAGCAAATCAGATCCCACCGATCACATCCGCCACTACAAGCAGGCCATGACATTGCATGCAGACGACGAGGCCCTCATGTGCCGAATATTCCCCAGCAGTTTGGGACCATTGGCGGTCCGGTGGCATTATAAATTGGAGCCGGCTTTGATCAAAACCTTCCACCAACTACAGAAATCCTTCAGGGCCAGATTCATTACCAACGAAGTCTAGCCAAAGCAAGCCAATTCCCTCTGGGCAATGCAAATTCTGCCAGGAGAAACACTAAGAGCTTATTCGGCGCGATATTGGGAATGCTTTAACCTTGTTGATGACGCTTGCAACGACTCCATGGCCATCACCGCCTTCAAAATGGGACTACACCCAGATAGTGCCCTCCGCAGTTCCTTGACTAGAAGATCCCCCAAAACAGTCTGGGGGTTGATGAAGAAAATAGAGGAATACTGCAAAGTGGAAGATGACGCCTTGCGGATTAAAGCCGGACACGTGGCCAACAAAACGGCCCCTCCCGAAATTGCTCAGCCAATAAGTTCCGCACCACCTCAAAGCCCTGAACCACGACAGCGGGCTAAACGAGACAAGAGACGGGATTCTCGCCGATCCAGTGATCGATGCCCACACCAAGCTAATGAGCAACTGCAGGTCGATAGCAGGCGCACAAAGTGCGCCTACAAGAAATATATGGAGCTGTCAGAGCCAATCAGCTCAATTATGCCCAAGATCCAACATCTTCTATTTTTCAAATGGCCATCCAAGATGGTGGGACCTCCTGACATGAGAAGGCAGGACAGACGTTGTGAATATCACAAAGATCACGGTCATGATACGGACAACTGCTATGCCTTGAAAGACCACCTTGAGGAATTGGTCCAAGATGGTCGGCTCCAGCAACACGTCCGGAAAAGCCCAATCAAAACTGTCGCCCTTCGGCAGGAGTCACCTCCCCTCGGCGTTATACATATGATATATAGTCTTCCAATGCCATTCACCATACATGCAATCCATTCAGCCCCCCAAAAGAAACGCGCACAAACGAAACAGCCCCACAAAGCGTTGAGCATTATCTTCGATGATTCTGATCTTATCGGTATAACACTCCCTCATATTGATCCATTGGTCATTGAACTACACGTGAACCGATTTACCGTTGAACGCGTCCTCGTTGACCAGGGGAGCACTTCGGAGGTCATGTATTACGAGACCTTCATCAAACTTGGCTTCAACGAATCAGACCTATCTTCGGCTCCTCATCCATTGTTTGGCTTCAACGCAAATCTGGAGTATCCGTTGGGAAAAATCACGTTACCTGTTCGGGCGGGCTCCCAAACGGTGGAAGTGGAATTCCTGGTCGTCAAGCTCCCTTCACCGTATAACCTCATCATGGGGCAGACTTGGTTGCATACTATTCAGGCCGTACCAAGCACCTATCATCAGCTGCTATGCTTCCCGACCGAACACGGCGTTGAGCAAATCCGGGGTTCCCGGTAATTCGCACAAGCATGCTATCTCCTTTCTGGAAAGACACCAATGGAGACGCAGGTCAACTCCATTGAAGCGCCAAATCGAGAGTCTCGACAAAGTCGGACGGCTTCACGATAAGAAGCCACGAAAGCTGTAGGCGATACCGATAGCAACTTCTCAAGACGTCTGTTCAACGGATCCACGGAAGCTGTAGGCAATAGCAGTATCCCCTGAAGGCATTTTTGGACGATAAAAGGCTGGTTGATGGAAAATTAGGCACGCGGCCTTGCTCCTAAGGCACGTGCGCGAATTCTATCATAAAACCCGACTTGTGGGAATGATATTGGTTCTGAACGGCTTACCATGTACACTTTCCACTTCTGTAATGCAAAGATGCCTGCTTACTAACTTTGCAATCCAGTTCAAAAATGTTCCAAATAGTCTCCGGAATCGGAGCCCCATCGGCGCATGACGTCTTTGGGCCGATAAAGCCTCTGGATTCAGAGCGCCCTTCGTGGATGTCACTATCGGCCAAAATCAAGTCTCCGGATTCAGAGCCCTATTGGCGCATGACATCTTTGGGCCGATAAAGCCTCCGGATTCAGAGCGCCCTTCGTGGATGTCATGATTGGCAAAATAAAGTCTCCGGATTCGGAGCCCCATCGGCGCATGACGTCTTTGGGTCGATAAAGCCTCCAGATTCGGAGCGCCCTTCGTAGATGTCATGATTGACAAAATCAAGTCTCCAGATTTGGAGCCCCATTGACACATGACATCTTTGGGCCGATAAAGCCTCCGGATTCGGAGCGCCCTTCATGGATGTCACGATCGGCCAAAATCAAGTCTCCGGATTCAGAGCCCCATCGGCGCATGACGTCTTTGGACCGATAAAGCCCCCAGATTTAGAGTGCCCTTCGTGGATGTTACGATTGGCCAAATCAAGCCTCTGGATTCGGAGTCCCCTTCGGGGATGTCACGATCGGCCAAAATCAAGTCTTTGGATTCGGAGCCCCATCGGCACATGACGTCTTTGGGCCGATAAAGCCTCCGGATTCAGAGCGCCCTTCGTGGATGTCATGATTGGAAAAATCAAGTCTCTGGGTTCGAAGCCCCATCGGCGCATGACGTATTTGGGCCGATAAAGCCTCCAGATTCAGAGCGCCCTTCGTGGATGTCACGATCGGCCAAAATCAAGTCTCCGGATTCGGAGCCCCATTGACGCATGACGTCTTTGGGCCGATAAAGCCTCCAGATTTGGAGCGCCCTTCGTGGATATCACGATTGGCCAAATCAAGTCTCTAGATTCAGAGCCCCATCGGCGCATGATGTCCCACATTGATTGTAGAGGAAAACTTTGATAGGTATTTAAACCTCAAGATTT